AAGGAAGAAAATACAAGCAAGATACGATAAGAATGAGGTTTTGTATAAGTGAAGTTGATTAGTAAAGTTATAAAGATTGGTAATCAGAGATAAGTTTAAGTGATAGGAATAGAGTATGTGAACATGACAGAAAGATATGATTGGTGTATACGAAGATTTTGATTTATGAAGAAAATGAAAGGAAGAAGTTTAAAGAATTAGATGTGATAAAGATTATGTTGAGATATAGGTTATAAGTTTAACCAGAAATAAGAAAGGTATGTCAGGTAATATGAGAAATTGTTTAGTTATGCAAAGTGTATGTTTAATCAGTTATGATGAAGATTTAAGGTTATGTTTCTTGGTCAAGTGGATGTAGTCAGAGAAATGAATAAAGATTTATATGTATTAAGGAAGTTTTGGAGTCAGTCAAGTAAGGATGAAATAAAAGTTTGGTGATTCTTGAAAGACAATTGAAGATTGACAAGGAATTTGATTGATTTATGAGTTTAAGTAATAAGAATTAATGTTATTGTCTATCTGATAAGTGACATGATAGGAGATATAAAGTAAAAAGGTAGTCGAATAATTTAAAAGATAAGAACCAAGTTATTAAAGATTATACAAAAGATTAAGTTCAGAAAGCATCATGAGAACGTTAGAAGATATGTTCTTCTCAGGATGTGCAGTGAAAATTCGAGGATGAATTTTTAAAAGGAGGGGAGATTTGTAACATCCCAAACTATGGGTTAGTGACCAAATTATAAAGTTTCAGAATTTAGTGACTAAAGTAGAAGAATGGATTAGTTTAGTGTTTTATTTGAAAGTATTTCCTAATAGTTGTTAGTAATTATTAAAGGAACTAAAGGGTAAAATGGTCATTTGATCATTTAAGGAATTAAAAATATGATAGTGGGGATATATATTTTTACACGTGTGAGTGTAGGAAACCAAAAACAATGTCTCCAGAATTCTCTTCTCCTCCTTTCTTCTTTGTGCGTGAAACTCCAACTCAAAGGTGATTTTCTTAATTAGTTGGTTATTTGTTGAAATAAAAGTTTGGTTATGATTCTTAGGTGATACTTAAGCTTAAGGAAAGCTTAAGTTATCTTAAGATCAAAAGATAAATGAGTTAGGGAAGATTAAAGATTTGGAGTTCTTGAGTGAATTTCCAGAATGGAGTTGATAAGTTGAACTTGAAACTAAATTTGACTTGTCATCAGCTTAATTAAGAAGTATTAAGTGTTAGAATTAGATTTGAAACATGTGGAAAATAGGGTATGATTCTTGAAATTCCTAAAGAGGATAGGATATTAAGGTTAAAGATGAGATAAATGAATATTAATGAGTTTAAGTATGTATATGTAAGTTAGGAATATGAAAGAGGTTGAAATATGAAGGATTTAATCCAAAAAGAATGAATTTTCGGGTTCAAAAAGAGGATTCTGGGCAGAGTGCATCGATGCATATTCATAGTGCACCGATGCATCAAGGTTAAAACCCAGAAATTGTTTGAAGGTGTATCGATGCACAGGTAGTGCATCGATGCACTCTTTTAATCTAAAAACATCGACTGTAATTGGTGCATCGATGCGTAAGACATGCATCGATGCATCCTAGTAATAAACAAACATCGAATGTATTTTATGCACCGATGCTCAGGTAGTGCATCGATGCACCGATAGGGAATGCATCGATACACTGTGCAGTGCATCCATGCATACCTTCATTAAAAGATGAAATGGGGTTTTCTTTTAGCCTAAGAAGTGACAATTTAGAAGATATCAATTAGTATACTAATATGTATCAATGTATTATTATGATGTAGATATAGAATAAAGCTTGTTCCGGAACAATCTAAGGATTAAGATTGATTCAAAGCAAACAAGGCTAAGGTGAGTGCACATTCTCTAGTATATGAGGTTCAAGGGAAAATAAGACTTGTGATAAGTCTATTTCCAATAGTGAAAAACATGAATTCATAGAAGTATGTATTTGTTATGATTTATATGTGTGCATGAGTATATGTATTATTGATATGAATATGGTAAGTAAAAGGGATTAATGGTGATGATAAGAATAATAATAAGGATAATGAAATGATAGGTATATGTGAATATAGGTATTGATGTGTTTTGTATGTATTGTAAGATGATATGTTTATGTGATAACATGATAAGATGACAATGATTTACATGTCATATGAACACATGAGAAATGTTATGAGCCATATGAAATAGAAAGTATATGTGATACATGAGGGTGAATCCTATGTTTATATGAATATGAACTCATATGAGAATTGACATGAACTACGTGATTACATGTATATGTGAATGAAACCATGAGCTTATATGAATATATGATATGGTTACATGAATATGTAAAAGGATATAAAAGATAATGCCCATGTTATGTTTCCTGAAAGCTAGGGGTATAGTTGGCATGCCAAGAGTCGAGGGTCTATGTGGTCCTTCGGGACATATATGTATTCTTTGGAACATGTGTGAAGTCTGGTGAGACACATACTTGATCCTTTGCATATGTATATGATTCTTAAGGAATGATATGTGGTCCTTCGGGACATATATGTATTCTTTGGAACATGTGTAAAGTCTGGTGAGACACATACTTGATCCCTAGTATATGTATATGATTCTTAAAGAATGATATGTGGTCCTTATGGACATTATTATATGGCACTACGGTTCAATTCTACGCGGCACTCCGGTGCAATTATATGTGGCACTTCGGTGCAATTATATGAACTGTGGTGACAGCATTAGTGCACAACCTCTATGTACTCGCATATCTTTAGTTCTCACATGTGTATCATGGGCTATTAAATAGATAATATTAATAAAGTGATATGATAATATGTTTGTTTTCTTGTGGAATTTCATGTGTGATATTGATTGTACAAATGGTAACTTATAAGACCATATGATGAAAGGAATCAATGATAGTATATATATATATAGTTTACATGACATGATATGTATATATGCAATTGGTTATGGTATATGTTATATGATATGGACATAAGAGATCATAGGAACATGAGATAAGAGATATGAATGATAATGACATATATGTATGCATATATTTGTTACATGTAAAAGTATGAGTGGTATGAAATGATAGTAGTAATTGTTTAGGTATGATTATTAGTTACCTTTTACATTATATGTTCATATGCCTCAATAAGTCTTTGACTTAGCGTGTAAGTGATTTACACGTAGGGTTCGAGAAGAGTAAAGAGCAATGTGGAGCAAGACAGATCAGTTCTCCTTACTAAAGGTCAGATCAGAAAAGATGTGAATAATATGTATTTTAGTATATAAAGTTCTAGTTGGCATGTTTTCAAAAGAATATATTGTTTAAGCTATGAACAATTTTATAAATGTTTCGAATAGTTATATGTAAATAAATAAGTGAAATATACACGCACTAATTGGTTTTGTAATAATGAAAATGTCTTTTATGTAAATTAGTCATTTATATGTTATAAAAGTTTTAAATTACTCACTATTTTATGCAAATACATGTTTTAAAAGGTCAATGTGACACATCGGATTCGTATCCGGGTCGGATACGGGTTGGGGTGTTACAATATGTATATGTGTGAATTGATTATATGAAAAGATACACGATATACAGAAATGGAAAATACAAGATCACATGATAAATGGGTTAACGTTTATGATAGAGATCATGATAAAGATAGTATATGTGCATGTATGTAATTTAATATATTAAATGTTTTATGATTTTTTTATATGTTTATATGCCTCACTAAGTCTATGACTTAACGTGTGATTGTTTCACACGTAGGTTCCAAGAAGAAGAAGATTGATAAAAGTTATGCAAGACATGTCAGTTCTTCCTTTTCAAAGATCAGATCAGAAAAGAAATGTATAGTATGTATTTTGTAATAAGGAAAGTGGTCGGCATGTAAATAAAGGATTAAATCCGATATGTTCTAATCGGTTTTGAAAAGTCATAAGATTGAGTTTTGTAATGTTTTAAATGCATATATGTAATTGATAAATTTTATACGGATGAAAGCTTAGATTTTTATGAATTTATACGTATTTTGCCGAAGTTACTGCAGCAGTGCATCGATACACAATTGATATTCGAAATTTTCCACCGTTCATGGTACTGTTTACTATTCATACCGCATTTTACTGTTCATAAACATATATTTTCTTAAATTGGTTATAACAAACATGATTCAACAATATATTATCGTATTTTCTTAAAAAGAGTTCAAATGTTCTATTATTTTGCAAGAATAAAGGTTTTGAAATGACAATGTGACATCTCGAACTCATATCCGGGTCGGATACGGGTTGGGGTGTTACAATGTAATATTAAATACAAGGTATCAAATGTCATATTATACTTTAAGATAAACAACGTATTTAACAATTCAACTATCATTTTAATTGTATTTTGGTCACTCAATTTTTTTTTATAATCACACTTAAAATTATGTTTTAATCATTATTTGTTAAAAAGTTAACGGTAATGTTGATGTGTCATCATAAGATAATATCGTATCATTATTAAAAAAAAAATCACGCTAGCAGTTCATTTTAATTTTTAACAATTGTTAACCAAAATGAAATCAAAATGATAACTGAGTGACTAAATATTTAGTTTATCCTATAACTTAAAACAATAAATAAATAAATTTGAAATTATAAAAAAATTACCATGTTATACTTTTAAACATTTTTATTGATTTAATAAATATAAATATCAAATATGTAATGTTCGACAAATATATATATATATATATATATTGAATTAGTTAAAAAAAATAAATGTACCATATTTATAAAAATAAATTATTTGATTAATAAACTTAAAATAAATATAAGATAATATATATTTAAATATTATCAATTATTTGATAATAAACACTAATTCTTCTATAGGTACTATACTTTACTCCGTAATAATCCTTAACAAATCACTAATAAATGGCTCCAAAAAGCACTTGAAATCGTCATATGGGGTGTAGGAGAAGGGAACCGATTCAATGCAACCCGAACGCGGTCTTCCGCGCAAAAACATTAAACCGGAATCCACCAATTGTCAACATGTTCATCGTCGTTTTGCGGTAAAGTGCTTTGTTGTCTTCTAGCTTGTCATTTAACCTGGATAAACATGGAGGCCAAAAACATTCCCAAATCTCTCATCACCACCCACGTCCCACGGTTTATTTCCAGAAGACCCTTCAATTAATACCATAAAGTTTTTTTTGGAATGTTCTGCTCTGCAATGATCTTCATTCAAAGCATTTATGAATTATGATTCACGTTCCCTGGTACAATCCTAAACCGTCATAGCTGATCCGAATCTCCCCTGTATAAATTCGCATGGTTTTAGCATACACACCATGTTTTCTTTTCATTTTCTTGAGTTTTCTTGGAATCCAAACAGAATGTCTGGGGCTGGGGGATCATTTACAACTGGGAACACTGCGCAAGAGATGGGTTTTGATCATGTTCCCGAATGTTATGTGGTTTCGCCTTCGAAAACTTCGAGCTCGGATGCCGACGGAGTTCGAGTTCCGACCGTCGATATGTCTCGACTGAGACGGAATGGCGAAGAACGCTCCGTCACCATCAAAGAGCTCGGTGAGGCTTGTCGTTGCAGGGGGTTCTTTCAAGTGAGTGCAAATGCAACTTCTCTTTTCTTTTTCTCTGCTTAAGGATGTATTAAAACAAGAATGTATGTTGATGTTTGCATCAGATTATGACAGTGGCGGATTCAAAAATTAAAAAATGAGGTCCAAAATAAATGAACAACAATTTATCGACGACTTGATTGAGGAAGTTCACCGAAAAATCGTCGGTGAACGAAGTCGTGGCGGATGGTTTAAGCACAAACAAAAGACTGAAAAATGAGAATTGAATAGCAGTGGAGTTGGAGTATATGGGTTTGAACGCAAAACAGAAACTTTAGTATTAGTAATAGTTGAAATGAAAAGTTTTTAAATGATATATTATTATTTTAATTAGTTTTTTAATTGAAAATATAAAATAGATTGACAATTTTCGAACACAAATTTCAACTACAAAATAAAGTGTGCAGAAAATATTACAAATTTCAACTATAAATGTGCAGAAAAGTAAAAAAAAAAATAAAAAAAGGTGTGCATAATTTTTTAAGTTTTAATATAGTATATTAAGTGTTAATATTTTTTTTAAAGGAGAATGGGTATGTAACTGCTACCTCGTGAGCCACATAGGTCCGCCCCTGGGTTGTGAACCATGGGATTCGCCAATCGATTCTTGAGGCGGCGGCAGGTTTCTTCAATCTGCCGGCCAAAGAGAAGCTTAAGTTCAAGTCCAGCGATGTTTATAAGCCCGTTAGATACTCGACGAGCTTGAAAGACGGGGTTGACAAGGTCCAGTTTTGGAGAATCTTCCTAAAGCATTATGCACATCCCTTGGATGCCTGAATCGATTAATGCCCCGATAACCCGCCTCACTACAGGTAATTTCTGATCAAATTATGTCAAATTAAAGTATAAAGACTAAATCCCGATATCTACTACACTACATCATGTCATCTCGAACTCATAATGCCCAATGTTTCCTTAACGTTTTCAGAGAAAAGATGGGGGAAATATTGTGCAGAAGTAAGGAAACTAACCTTGGAACTGATGGGAACAATGATAGAGAGCCTTGCAATAAGCCCAAATCACCTAAGCCAAAAACTTGAACATGGAATGAAAGTGATGGCAGTAAACTGTTACCCGCCATGCCCCGAACCGGACACCGCGCTCTGGTTGCCGCCACATTCGGATTACTCATGCTTAACCATCATCCTCCAAAACTCAACCGGCCTCGAAATCTTGGACGTCGACAACGACGGCAACGGGATCGTTGTCCCGGAGATTCGCGGTATGTTACAAGTCCATGTAGGTGACCATTTCGAAGTGCTAAGCAATGGGATATACAAGAGTGCGGTCCATAGTGCTACACTGAACAGTGAAATGACTAGGATTTCCATTGCAAGTTTACATAGTTTGGGAATGGATGACAAAATGAAAGCAGCTGAAGAACTTGTGGATGAACAAAATCCCAGGAGATATAGAGAAAGCAGCTTCAGTGAAAGTAGCTTGAAAGATTAAAAGGTTATTTGGTTTCTGGGGTTTAATCACTTGATCATAGAGAAGATAATACATGTAATACACCTATTTGTTTCCCGGGAAAAAGTTGTTTCTTTTGCTGCAGCATAGTATAAGCGTCTTTAGTTCCCCTGATAGGTAAACTATGTTCCCCTGTTTCCCTGATAGGTAAACTATGTTCCCCTGTTTCCCTTATCAGTAATAAATAATATTTTAAAGTTATATATTTTTATGGATTTGACTTGACTTCTTGTGTATTTAATGATGATCATGGGTTAGGTTATTCATTCAAATACAACTCAAGTATTACACTCTCCACTTGTACTTGATTTGACTTAATTAGGGAATTTTCATTCGATCCGAATTCTAACTCGATTATTGAGGTAAAAGTTTGTACAAAACCCTATCCGGTATAAATATATATATATATAAATTTCAATTTTATTAGATATCATAGGGATCAAATTAAAAAATATATAAATAAAGATATATTATTGCAATTGTCCTAAATATACAAGGGATTTTATGGATTTGACTTGATTTGTGGTATATTTGGGTTTTTTTTTGGATGTACATATAATACTAGACACCTAAAATGATAATGGTAAAAATGTGAAATACCTAAAGTTAACAAGAAGTATAGTTTATATACTTGTTTTTTAAATTAAGCCTCGATAGTTTGACTAATTGATGAAGTTAGGATCAATTTACAATCTAAGTAATTGTTTGGGAATGTATGTCGATATTAACCCAAAAATGGATAAGCTATCGAAATAGCCACTTACCTTTCACATCTGTAACTTTTGCTCACTAATTTCAAAAAATTAGGTTTTGATCACTTATATTATCGTTTTATTGAGTTTTAGTCATTGTGATGTCGAATGTCGTTAGTTTAATGACATGACACGTTATTTAAGGGGTTTAATTTTTATTCTAACTCTTGAACTTTAGATAAAAATACTAATTATAAGTCTTTGTAAATCTATAATAGTTTAAGGACAAATTTTCAATTTACTCATTTTTTTATAATATGTTTTTCTTCTCCTGGCACTAAGAATGGCAGAAAGACCCGAACCCGACCGGGAAACCCGAAATCCGGCTAAGTTTGGGTCGGGTATCGGGATAAAATTTGGGGATTTTTTCGAGTTCAGGGCAAGGTATCCCCGCCCCGCCCCGCCCCGATTATATATATATATATATATATATATATATATATATATTATATTAATTATATATATAATATTTTATATATTTTATATTAATTATATATAATATTTTATATATTTTATATTAATTATATATATATATATTATTTTATTAATTATATAATACAAACCCTAAACCCTAAACATTTAAACCTTAAACCCTAAACTTTAAATCCTAAACCCTAGATTTTATAATTATTAAAGTGAAATTTGGTTGATTTATTGATAAATTTCTCAATGTAGAGAGCTACTAAAGAAAGTGAAAAAAGTGGCATGACGATTTTGGATGATTATATTTGACTTAATATTACGTATGCATCTTCGTTGTATGATTTGAATATCAGAACAAGTTTGTATTTAATTATGTATGTGTTTTATTTTGGAGTTTAGACAATTATTTAGAATTAGATTTGAATTTGTGATTGTAATTTGAATTGTAAATCATGTAAAATAATTTTTCCATTTTTTGTGATTGTTCTTTTTAATGAAAACTAAGGTTGCTCGGTTTTTCTCGGGATCGGGTAGGTTCAGGGACGGGGCAAAAAAAATTCCCGACGGGGAACGGGACATGGAAGAAGATGATGATTCATTTTGGGGATGAGGACGAGGGGAGCAAAACCCGCCCCGAACCTGCTCCGTTGCCATTCCTATTTGGCACCTTTTTCAAAACCCTAACTTTCCTTTACTTGTGCTGCACACCGTCTTTAGGTTTCTCGTTGTTCATCTTTCCCATCATTGATTTCCAAGATCAGCCCTTTGCCGATCATTTTGTCATCAAATTTGGGATGCCTCCTAATGCTCTCAGGTAGGAGTGTAAATGAATAGAGTGTTTGATGAACTATTCATGAATCGTTCATATAATGTTCGTTTATGTATGTTTATAAAACTAAATAAACAAGTAGGAACACATTTTTTATGTTTATTTAATAAATGAAATAACACAAATAAAGGTATGTTCAATTTGTTTATATTCAAGAACAAACTCGTTAATAAGCTCGTTTATAAACTTGATTTTATCCTAGCTTGATTTTATTCTTATCACATTTGCCAGATAATTGAAGACGAGTATCATAAGAACCGTAATTCCTGTTAGTTCAATCATCTTTACTTTTTTTTTTAATTCTTCTGCTCTCATTCTCTAACCAGAATATCGTCCTCTACGAAGATTTTGATGTCATCACCGGAGATATCAAATTTTAGGGATAAGGGTAAACAATGGAAGTGGTGAGAAAGTTTGTGTTTCTGCAAAGGTACTACAAAAGTATATTAAAAAGGGATAAATTGAAACTTATCCCTAAATTGTTTTGAGTTTATAAAAAGATTCATGATTAATATTTTATCTGAAATTTAAAGGTTAAAATAAAAATTAAATCATTTTAGTTACGTCAATACATTAACGAACATTTAATGTCCCAATGATCAAAACCAAAACTTTGATAAAATAAGTGACCAAAATTAACTTTTTCAAATTTGGTGAGTAAAAATATATAAATATGAAAGGTAAGTGACCATTTCAATAATTTAATAAAATAAAAAGGAAATCCTTAGGTAACGTAAAGCCAGATAAGCCAATTTATCAAAAGGAAGAGAAACTCACTACAGTGCCAATTTCTCAATTACTCGTTCAAAAATGGTTCAATTCCGGCTCCAAAACTGAAGTTTCGCTTCTGATTTGGAAGCTCCTAATCAGTGTTCTTCGTTTCTCAAAGGTCAGTTCATCTTCTTCTTCCGATTCACTCTCATCGCATTCTTTTCGCTCTGTTTCCGGTCTTGTAATCTACTGCACTTCTCCGTTTACTCTCATAACCTTCTCCCATAATTCCTTTGGAGAGACTGAGGAATGTATTTAAAATAACATTTTATTTTAGTTTTAATCTGTAATAGATATAATTTAAGCTGATTTATGTTTGATGAATTGTTTTTTTCTTTTTTATTATTAACATAAATTTTTTACAAGGTTCGTTTCTGATTTGCAGGTCTGTGGTGTTTAGTTTTGTACTTTGTGGTGAAAAAAGTTGAGAGAAAGCTATGATGCTAAAATTGAGCATCATCTAATAAGAATGCCGGGCATCCCTTTAGCGGCTTGTGAAGCCTCCGCGTATGTTCTCTGAGACTAAACTCTTGTTTTGAAGTTTTTTTTAATTCATCGTAACAATATGTTATGCTTGGTTTTCGAGTTTGGCGAAAATTTCCAACAATTTCATGCTAATATTTTCTTTGCTATGTGATCATAGAAACATTGTTTTTTTTTTCAAGGTCACTGTGAGAGTATCTTGTTCCGAGTCCCATGTTTGATTATTGTTGATTTAGTATAGAGTTTTCTTTTTTGGTTATGTTGTAATGAGGCGTGATTTTGGAGTATGTCTATTTGGATAAGTTCATGAAGAGGGGCTCTTGTTTTCGTTATCTTTCCTCCAGCTACTCAATAAGCACAGATCAAATGTGCCGAGACGATTCCCACCTACATTTATCTGCTGAAGAGGAAATTGCTGCTGAAGAGAGTCTATCAGTTTATTGCAAGCCTGTAGAACTGTATAACATTCTTCAAAGACGCTCTGTAAGAAATGTAAAACTACTGCTACTTGTTGCATTAGGCATTATATCTTTTTATGTAGATTGATTGTTGCGTCTTATGTGGCATTGCTAACAGCTAGTGCATGCTGCTTTGAACCATATTTCTTCTATTTTCATTGAAAGAGATTTTTCCTTTAATCTTTGACATGAATATTTTTGGATTTTAATGTACTTATTATTTGTGTCATCTTTGAATGATTTTAATTTTAATTTGCAGCCATCATTTCTTCAAAGATGTTTGAGTTACAAAATTCAGGAAAAACACAAAAGGAGGTAATGATTCAATCTGGTAATTGGATGTAATATTTGTTCCTAAAAGTTGTGGTTACTTGGAAGTGCTTATTGGCATTTCCCTTTTTTTCCCATTATAGTGGACTGACATGAAACCTTATAGGACAGTTAGATCTCAGAGATAAATATCTGATGAAAGGATTAACTCTTATCTTTTTGTGTGATTATGAAAGGATTTATTAATTGAAGTTTGATTTCGATCAGTTTTTGGTTATCTTTTTTCTAATGACCATGTGCTGTATTGTTTGCCTTGATCAAAATTTGCTAAATACAGGTAAATTTGAGTTATTAACTGCATTGTGTTTGGTTAATATGTAGAATACAAATGACAGTGTCTGTATCTGGGATTGTCAATGAAGGTGTACTAACACAAAGCATTTTTCCTTTATACGTCTTGTTGGCAAGGGTTGCTTCTGATGTTGGAATTGCAGAGGTAGGGTGTGTCATGTGTGTACTTCAAAGCTAAATCCAGTAGTCTATCTATGCATATTCTTCTTTCAGTACTGTTGAACTCTGTTTTTGTACTTCATTTATGATATATTTACTTTTAAATCCAACAATGAAGTATTCTGCAGTTTATCGGTTTCGTCGGGCATGTATCTTGACTAGCTTCACCGGCATCGATGGCAGTAATCAAGCCCAAGTAAATTTTATTCTCCCTGAGAAAAATAAGCTATCTATGGAAGCCAAATCTGGCTCACTTTCCATTTTGCTTGTAAACTTTGGTATGTATTTCATTGTTCCTTTCTGTAGGTGGATTGATTAGATCCTCTATGACAGCGTAATTTAGTCTGAATGGTAGATATTGAAGGTTACTTCTTTTTGTTTCTTTAATTCACATTCAACTTATTCTGATAGCAAATGGAGGATGCTGCCTATGGGGTAGAATACCATTAGAAACACTATACGTGTCATGGGAAAAATCACCAAACT